ACTGGGTGGAAGGCGGGCAGACGGGGGAGGGGAGAACTGGAAAATGATGAGAGAGAGGGAGGGGGCCCTGGATGGGGAGAGAGGAGGATCGGAATATGGAACTGGGAAGGGTGGGGCTCGCCGAGCGGGGGCTGGAGAGCGAGGGAGCGCGGAGCCTCTCCGGGACCGGGCCGCGGGTGCGTGGGCCTGAGGAAATGCGTGGACGCCCCCCCCCCAGCCGCTGCCTACCCCTCCCTTTGGCTATGCATGCCCCTCCGGCCCGGCCCTATCTCTTCCCCTTCTTCCTCCGGCCGCTGCTTCCCCGTTCCCCTTCTAGACCCCAAACCCGCACCCCTGCTGCGTAGCCCAGTCCTCGAGTGACAGGCAGTGCCGACCCGCTCGGCTCCGCCACGGTGCCTGAGAATCCGCCTCGGGCTTTTGCCGGAGGAGGGCACCGACTGCAGCGGCAGCTGCCGCGGGACCCTGGTCTCAGCGCGGAAGGGCTGAGCTCCAGGAACCCTGGTCTCTGCGCGCGGCGCGCACCGGGCGCCTGCAGCCCAGGCTGGGCTCCCGCGCGCTCGCAGGCGCACGCCCTTCCTACGCGTGGCCTCTCCCGGGAGCGCTGCAGCGGGAGGACTAGGCTACCTGCTCGGGGTCGCCTCCCCAGAGTGTCGGTCCAGCCTACGTTGCCATGAAAGACAATCTTGGCAGGGAGAGTACCGAGACTAGAACGGGAAGCTGCGGCCCCAGGGATCCCAGAGGGCTGGACATCTGGAAGCATCCTGGATTCCTGCAATCCGAGAGCGGGCACACGCGTCCGGGAACACCCCTAGCTGAGTGCCCAGCACAGGCCTGTCCGGAGCACTGGGCCTTCCTCCCTGGCCAGGACCGCAGTGGCTCACCATGAGCCGTCATGTGCCCGATGTTTGTCCTTTTACTGAATTCCCAACACGACCTACGGGTATCTGCGGTTTGGAGAGATTCATTCACCCCAAAAATATTTTTTGAGATAACCAGCAGATGACGTAACAGTTACGTCGCTGGATTCCCATATGACTGCCTGTGGTTCAAGTCCCAGACTCGGAGGCTTGACACTCACGCCGGGTGCGTGCATGCCCAAAATCCTGAGAGGAGAATGGAGAAGAGATTGTGGTATGGTCATTCCCCCAGAGGGGTGATTTCCCACTTTCTGTCTCTGTCTTTCTGGCTAGTGCACATGTCCTGTAGCAAAAATCTCCAAAAAAAAAAAAAGTTGTTTAAAAGTATATATATACATATTTTTTGAGCATCTGTTATGTGCCAGCAACAATTTGGGACATAGGGGATTTTATTTTTATTACGTTGGGGATTTCTTCGAACAACAAATAGGAAGTCCTTAAATGGGGAGTTTTCATTCTGAAAGACAAAGTGCTGGATGTGCACCAATGTCAATGTACTTACCTCTGCTAAATTCGAGTACCGAGTTTAAGTGCTAAGTGTGCGCGCATGGTTAAGAGTAAATGTCATGCTTAGTTTACCGCAATCTTTTTCAGAATTATTTAAATTTTTAAAAATTATTTTATTTGACTTTATTCTTTTTTTTTTTTTTTTGAGAGATTATTGCTAAGGGGGGGGGGCCCTCGCCAGACAGACACAAAGTGAGAAATCTCCCCCCAGGGGGGATGGCCACGCTGCAATCCCTTCTCCTCCATTCTCCTCTTGGGATCTTGGGCACGCACACACACGCACACGGCATGAGTGTAAGCCACCGGGTCCGGGACTTGAACTTGGTCCACTACATGGGAGTCTAGTGACATAGCCATTACGCCAACTGCTGGGCCCCATTCATTCATTTTTAATTTGACCAGAGAGGGAGAGAAAGAGAAAGTGAGAAAGCAAGTCACCAGGTCTGGGACTCAAATCGAAGTCAGCCATGTGGGAGTCCAGTGCCCTTAACCACCACGACACCTGCCGGCCCCTGGAATTATTTTACTTTGAATTTACCCAGAGAGAGAGAAAAGGGGAAAGTGAGAAAGCAAGCCACCAAGTCCAGGATTTGAACCACGGTCAGCCATGTGGGAGTCCAGGATCTTAACTACCATGGCCACTGCCAGCCCCCACAATTAATTTCAAAAACAACAAAGAACGATAGGAAGGCTTTGCCCTCGCAGGTCTACATCCCTGAAGAGGATTGGCAATAAACTCACTTCGAGTCACTCAGCTACTAAGCTCCCAGGGGCCTAGCAGGCACACACCATTACAGGGTGTCCTCCCTCCTCTGGCTTTCCAGGGAAGAGTCGGGGCCCTGTCATGTTCAGTGAGCCCTGGGAAGGGGGAGGGGATGAACAGAGGGGCTTGGAGGTCCACCATGGCTGTTCTGGGGCTCCCTGAGGGCGGTAAGTGCGGTCACAGCTGGTCCCTCTCTTGGCTGATCCCCATCCTGTTCTCACCCCAGATCCAGGACAGAGCTCTTGGCACCATGAACGCGGTCATTGGCATCATTCTCCTGACAGGTAATGGGCAAGGGGCTGGGCTGGGCTTCCAGGCACCCTGACTCCTTCTCTCCCGAGAAGCTGGCTTCTTCCTCAGCCTTGAGGGGGGCGGTGACCTGGGGGGGGGTCTTCATGCTGAAGTCAGCAGGTCAGATCACCTCGCTGGTCATCTGCCTGCTGGGGTGGAACACATAGCCCTGCCCCTTACTACTGAGCCGGAGTCTCCAAGTGAGACGGGGAACCTGCAGCAGCACCCCAGGATCTGTCCTCTAAGCACACTGAGGTGCCCAGGGCTCCAGCAGCCGGGGCGGGGGGGGGACCCAGGGCCTGTGTGGGGTAAGCTGGACTGGCCTTGCACACCCCCGGGGTGGGGAGAGGCACTGGAGAGCAGGGCCCTGTGCCCTCCCTGGCTACCCCCATCTCTGCTCTCAGTGGGGTGGGAGGCCCCCAGCTCCGAAGCCCTACCCCAACTTGGAGGGGGCACTGCGGGGGCCAGTCTTGCAGGTATCCCAAGGACAGAAGGTGACCAGCCTCACGGCCTGCCTGGTGAACCAGAGCCTCCGCCTGGACTGCCGCCACGAGAACACCACCACCACGCCCATCCAGTATGAGTTCAGCCTGACCCGGGAGACGAAGAAGCACGTGCTCTTTGGCACCATGGGCGTGCCCGAGCACACATACCGCTCCCGCACCAACTTCACCAGCAAGTACAACATCAAGGTCCTCTACCTCTCCGCCTTCACCAACAAGGACGAGGGGCTCTACACCTGCGAACTGCGCCTCTCTGGCCAGCCGTCCACCGTCTCCTCCCAGAACATCTCTGTGTTCAGAGGTGAGGAGAGTCTCCAGCGAGACAGAGCGTGCTGGGAGAGCCAACCTGGGAGGGTCAGGCATGGGCAGTTCCCTAAGCTGGGCTGGAGAGGACAGCAGCCCCATGACCCCTCGCTGTCTCCCAACTGCTGCCTCACCCCCTGGGGACCACTGCCCCACCCCATCCTCTCTCCACAGATAAGCTGGTCACGTGTGAGGGCATCAGCCTCCTGGCTCAGAGCACTTCCTGGCTGCTGCTGCTCCTGCTCTCGCTGTCCCTCCTCCAGGCCACGGACTTCATCGCTCTGTGACTGGCTGGGCCCATGGAGGAGATAGGAAGCCGCGAGGTCCAGTGCAGAGCCCCTACTTCTCTGAGTCGGCTGACCCCCTCCCACCAGTCCCTCACACACCTCGGGGAGCAGC